ATAAAGATAACAGCACAAGTTTGTTTCGTATATGCCTCAACAGTCTGAACACATTTACGAATACCACGCAAAGACATAGGACATAAAAGAAGGAAGCATAATTATATAGTTAGTATATCTATAGGAATGGATAAGATCTGTATGCTGATAATGAAGGGATATATCTTTATTACTTTGGAAACTGGGTGGGCTACGCTTGCGAATAGCAAGCAAAGAGGAATCATAACAGATATAAAGCTATGGAAAGTTTCACCAGAAAGTGCGCGAGCTTAAGACCTCAACATATATGCATCATGAATAGCTAAATCAACAGCATCAACAATCAAAGCAGAGACAGTTACGAATACTACTCAAAGAGAAATGGATAGGAGTATGTCAAGGAACGCAAATTTAACATGTGAACACACAACTAAAAGAACACGATTGACGCTTCGATAATTTAGAAGTCAATACAGTCATGTTTACGAATAGACCACAAAGAGGAATCGATATATGAAGGAATCAATATACAATATACAATAGAGTACTAAACATTATGTGAGCTAACGAATTTAACACGCAACTATCGAAATATATATATCGATAACGATAAAAGTCATCGCTTTACAATTTTATAAACGTTTACGAATGTCACTCAAAGAGAAATCGATCAAACTGTTTGACATGAGCACACAATCATTTTTTGGTCTTGATTATATCGACAGTCGATACAGAGACCTTTACGAATGCCACTTACAGAGAAATCGATTAAAGTGTTTCCGAATGCGAACTTAAGACATTTGCACACATTTAGCACTCTGTGCGCTGCTGAAAACTTAATTATAATGCGATGATGTGGTAAACATTTAGCAAATTGAATAAGTCCCAAATCATAACATGCCTGGGCACAGAAACAGTCACAGTGTGCGGGAAGGAGAGAGGAGCGAGTGGGAGTGGGAGAGAAGGTATGGCAGCAAATATTCAGAGACGCGTAGAGCTGAAGCAGAGGCACAACTTGTGCTCCTCAGATAATTTGAAGTGAACACACAAAGTAATTATGAAAACCACTTGCAAATACGAGAGACTGACACACACACATACACACACACGGTGAGTGAACATATTTACTCATGTAAGTGAATGCCTGGCAATGGGGAACCAGGGACTGGCCGGGCCAACAAGTTTGCCCTGACTCGCAGCTCGTGCGAGTCATTACAAGTTACGCTAATCAAGTTGAACGTGCGCATCACCAGCAGCGTAGAGGTAGAGGCGGCGCTGGTAGCGGGGCGTGGCATGGCAGCCGGATGCCTGGCAGACCGCTACAAGGGCAGCCAGCGAGTGGCGTTGAGTGTTTGAGACAGGAAATGACAATTCAAATTAAAGACAACGGCTCACCCAAAATACAAAAAGCAAAAAAACGAGATGAAGCCAAAGACTGTGTCGAAACGATGTGCAAATGGTTGGGGCGGGGCAGAGGTAGAGGCAAGGGTAGGAGCAGGAGCAGGAGCAGAGCCACTGAGGCAATTGGAGTTGCAGGAACTGCCTACGTACGTTTCGCAATGCCACTTAACATGAAATTAATTATGAAAGTTTTGTACAACATTTTGTTGAACGAGTTGAGGAAACCTTCAATGCTGCCGACGTCGCTGCCAGCAGCAGCAGTAGCAGCAGCAACAGCAGCAGTGGCAGCCCCTTTGGCCAAGTGCATTGCGAAAAAAAAAAAAACAAGCCTGGTCATGAGTATGGGAAAATTAAGTGTACGCCACGTAAGCCGCAAGTCTGTTGCGGATGCCCAACAGAGGCGGGAGAAAAGCGTGTGTGTGTGTGCGTAAGTGTGTATGTGTGCGTATCTGTGTGTGTGCGCTTGTGGCCACAGCAAACAGCAGACGCAGCAGCGCTAAGCATGGCTGTTACGTTGCTGTTGCTGTTGTTGTTTAAATGTCGCCTCCGGAAAGGAGCAAAAGGAAGAAAGGCAACAGCAACAGCAACAACAATAACAGCGAGTTGTCACCCAAAGAGGAAGGGTGCTGCAATTAGAAACGCACAGCGCAGCAAGCAGCGCTGCCAGCAGTCAGCAGCAGCAGCAGCAGCAGCAACCGGAAATATGCCCAAAAAAGTAGGCAACAACTTTTTTACAGCGCAAACTTTTACTGCTGCCGCTGTCGCAGCGGGCGGCGCCGTCGACGTCGACGACTGTGAGTTGTAAGTTGTTTTACTTGAAATTTTTAATTATGATTTAATGTTAAAATACGGAAATAATTTGCGGCAAACAACTTTCGTCGTCATCGACGAAGCCTCGCAACGCTTCAGCAACTTTATTTCAGTTGCCAGCAACATTGCAACTGTGTGCGTGTGTGTGCGTGTGTGAGTAAAATGATTGACGACTGTGCAAGCAACTCATTATGCAACAAATCAAATTAATTCCTAATTAAACAACCAACCGTACACAGCTTAGATATATTTTTTGGTTGAATCAAATTTCGATGTCGCCAATTAATAACTAATAATAGATACATATAGCTAAGAATATATATACATATATTACTATTGTATAATTTATACATATTAGGCTAATGCTTCAGTGTGAAAATTCATTTAATAAACAGCAATATTAATAATAATTATATTATATATAATGTTCATGTAAAATTATCTAATTTAATCAAATTTCTTCTCGTATTTTCTCTGGATATTGTACCTTTTACGTATTACTTTTCTTCTTCTTGATAATTTTAACATCTGTAGAACAATTTAACATTCAAAGAATCCACATATGTATATATAGCTATATTTATATGAAGCTATCAATCACAGTATATTTTATATTTACTATTCATTATAAACTAAATGCGCTGATTTATTTATTATTTTATTGTTTACAATTTGCGTTAAAGGAATTTTTATTCTTTATAAAATTTATCAATTTGTGCTTTTTGTAGCTTGTTGTTAATTTGTATATAGGGTACGATAAAGTCGTTCACATTCCAATTGTTTTATTGACGTACAATGCGAACTCAAATGCAGAAGATTTTGTGTTATTGCAGCTTTGATTAAAATGTGTCGGGCTTTTGTCAACGTTGCGGCTATAGCACATAGCTTCAGACATTCCATCACACACACGCACGCACACACGCACACCCATGTCTGTGTGTGTGTGTGTGTATATGACAAGCTGTTTAGTATGCAGGTTGCCTGCTCATCGTAAAATCGCATTTATATGTTGTTTATTCTTCGCATAAACAATATGTACAATGTGAATGAATTACCACACACACACACACACACACACACACACACACACACACACACACACACACACACACACACATCAACCACACCCACACACCCACACTCACACACACACTGTTTACTTTATAGTGGCAGCATTTGGTTTTTCTCTTTTGGTTTGTTTGCTTTCGCTTTTTTAACAACATTTTCATGCACTTTTATTACATTTCCTCGATGAAATTTTATTGTTCTGCCACAAGAGAAGCAACAAAATTTATACAAATTGTATACAAATATTTTGATACATGAGCTCCATAGCAGACAACAAAAAATGAAGAAGCATACCCAAAAAATATAATAAAATGTAAGCGAGCCAAAATGACAAAATGTTTCATATTTGCTTTGGCTTGACTTTCTGTCAACACGTTTCGCCTTACGGCAAGTCGATTGTTTGCTCAAGGATAAATTCATTCAAATTGCTCGGGGCAAAACACAAAGCATTTCAATTTCGAAAAGCATTTCAATTTCTATACGAGTATACAATTAGCTGAATCTATTAGAGTTTATAATTGAAAGTTGAACATTTTCATATATACAATATTCCTATAAATATTTCTTGTCGAAGTATGGTAGATTGTAAATTGATATTGTATAGATCTTGTATAGATCTTCTCCGACTATGAATCTATAACTATGAATCTATGAATCTATGAATCGATGAATATATGAAAGTGTGAATCTTGGAATCTATTAATCTTTGAATCTGCGAATCTTTGAATCTATGAATCTATAAATCTATGATTCAATGAATCGATGAATCTATGAATCTAATAATCTATGAATTGATGAATCTATGAGTCTATGAAAGAGTGAATCTACTATCGATGAATCTATGAATCTTTGAAAGTGTGTATCTATGAATCTATTATTTTTTCTGTATCTATGAATATATAAATCTATGAATTTATGATTTAATGAATCGATGAATCTATGAATCTATGAATCTATGAATCTATGAATCTATGAAAGAGTGTGTATCCATGAATCTATTAATTTCTGAATCTATGAATCTATAAATCTATGAATCTATGATTCTATTAATTTATTAAACATACGATACATGTTTATATAGGATCGAAAAATATCTATTCTCATGCAAATGTACGAATGTACTTGTACGAATGTCTGTATCTCTTCTTCATTGAAGCTATTCATATATCCGTATTTTTCATCATCCATAAATTCAACATTTTATCCAACAATCTATTCATGAACCAATGTGTATCTCCTTGCATATGATTCATTCCATGCTTTAAGCTTTGAGCTGTTATTAAATATCGCCTGACACGTTTTCTTTCTTGTTTCAAACTTTCTTTCATTATGCTGCTTACATATAAAATACATATAAATACATAGACCCACATTCACAGCATTTCTTGCTTAACTTTTCAACTGCTCATTCCACTAAATTTTCTGGGTACAGCTCCGTATTAAAAATTAATCAAATTATTAAAGTGTCACAACGATACGCCCATTCCTCAATATAAATACAAAAAAAAAAAAATACAAACTTTTATTTTCGCAGAAACAAAATTATTTGCTGTGTTTGTCACAAAAGTTGAGCAGGGACAAATTGTTTTTCGAAATTCAAGTGGACACAGAACAAGGGTAAAAGTTGTGCGAAACTTCGATCTCCTGGCCAAAATGTATACAAACAGACAAACGTACATATCTATACATATCTATGTATTTATTATATGTATGTATATATTGAAATGGTGGTAAATACTCACAGTGTTTGCTCTTCTCGGCGGCCACTTGGCTCTGCGGCGTTTGGGCCACAATGGCAAAGAGCAGTAGGAGCATTAGAAGCCATTTGGGAATGCCCGTGGCTGTTGCCCATCCCGTTCCCATTCCCGTTGCTGTTATCGGGCTGGTTGGGCTGGCTTGGGTCGTTGCCAGCTTACGTTGTTGATTGCGTGTGTGCCCGTTCGCTAAGCTTGGGTCAACGGCGTGTGCGACCGCTGGCGGACCGGGGCCACACGACGTTGGCATCAGCAGCATTGTCGGTTGTCTCAATTTTCACGATTTTCACAAATTTCACTGCAGCAGCTGCAGCTGGACAAAGTGTTTGCTGTTGTTATTGTTACTCCTGTTGTTGTTGTTGTTGTTGTTGTTGTTGTTATTGTTTTTGTTGATGCTGATCTGGCAAGCGTTATTCCTTTTATTCTGCTCGTATTTGTGTGGGCAAACGTCATTGTTTCGCAATTAAAAGCATTCATTTATGAGTTTCCCCGCTGCGCAATGTTTTAATGCTCAGCCAAGTGCTCGCTCGCACATTTCTCGCCCGTTTCCGTATTAATTGTCAGTTGCTGCATTTATCACGAAGCCTGCAAAGCGAAAAAAGAACGGGAAAATTCACAGCAATTAGAAATGCCAATAGCGAAACACTGAAAATGTATTCGAAAATGTCACTTCAATAACTTATGTACGACTGACTGAACTTATGAACACTTTCCATTATTTTTCAGGCCCATCTCTGGCTTCTGATGGGAAAAGTAATCTTAGCATATCAATTTTAAGAGCTTTCGAATAGGGTTACACTTCAAACGCCTTGCATATAGTACTCAGATGGCAATAGAAGTAAAGAGTTATGTATATATCATGTTTCATATATGTACATACATATGATATATGTGAGGCTTCTTAGCAATTATTATAATCTATATACATATCTATATAATAATATTAATGACCTTATATATGTTCTAATTTTCTTTCTTTATTCCTCTCTTTCACTCTCCCCCTCTCTTATATCTAAAGCATATTCCATTTCTTTCATTATTCACAATTAAATATCTTGTTCTCTTTCTTTATCTCATTTCATGACAGCTCTTAATTATTTGTTTCACAAAGATATTACGCTATTTAGAATTGAATACAAATTTTTTCTCATTTTCCATTTTCCACTTCTTTGTGTTTCCCGCTCGCTGGCTCTTGAGCTATGAAATTCAAATCAAAGCAAAATTTGTTCGCAAGAATTTCACAGTCAAATACCAAGTTTCTCTTTGCTCTGCGCAGTCACAGCAAAGATCAAGGATATTCACAGTTATTAAGCTATTCATATTATATGTATAATATATCTAATCTCCATCTCTCTGCGTCTATCTCGCGTCGGCTCTTTATGCTTTTTCATAAGAATCCACAGATATCAAATCACACTTACTCTCTCTCTCTCACTCTTCTTCTCATTCTCTCCGCGAGACTAGCGATTCATAAGTATCATTCGAATCGAAAAATCGATGCATAAAATTATTCAAATGCCAGCGGCCATTCTGGCCATCCAGGGCGTGCCTGGAGCAACGGGTCGTATGCGCATTTAAAAGCAAATGAGATATTACGTATACGCAGCGCTGCCTACATAGTTTTTATTGCGAAGCTGGCCAATAGACGAGCGCCCGTGCGTTTGAGGTAATAACAAGTCTCAACTGCATGACTGGGTAATAAGAAACTAGCGTTGATTTTAAAGAGCCTCCGTCCGCTCTCAGCCCAGCTGCAGCCATAAAATAATTTCTTTAGCAGAGCCGAGAGGCGGCCAAGAGCGGAGGAGGTGGAACATGCTGCAGGCCGAGCGCTACGGGAGAGCTGGTTGGCATAGCTGCGCCTTTGTGCCATCAAAAGTTTATCACATTAGAAATCAACGGCAGCCCCGAGCAGACCGGGTCGCTGGCGGGGCGTGCACCTCGAGCCCCTCCTCACACCACGTCGCATGCCCACTCACTTCATTCTTGTGCCACATAAAAGGCAAAATAATAATGAGAAGCCAGAAGCAGCAGCAAGAGAATCGGGAACAGAAGCAGCAGCAGTAGAAAAAAAAATTATCACACATATTTTGTTGTGCTTTATTTGCTTGCCGCACACAGTTTCCTTTCTCCCTCTTACCCTCCCCCTCTCTCTCTCTCTATTGCTGGACCATTCATGGTTCGGACTTTAGATGTGTCACATACACGCTCACTGTTTGTTATCCTTCGAGCGTTCCAATTCCGCCTTTAATTAAATTTGATTATAGTTTTCTTTTTTTTTTTTTTTTTTTTTTCTCTCTCTCTCTCTCTGTCTCTCTTTCTATTTCGCTGCACGTTTCAACTTACCCGCCAAGCTGACTGCCAAATTTGGCTGCAAGCCTTATTTTCCTAGGCAATTGAATTTGGTTAACGCTTCAGCACAGTTGCCTTGACCAAATTATTGTCATGCTACACTACTTGGCAGACTGTGGCAGCCTAATTCGAATAAAAAAAAATTATATATATATATTCCAAGTATCATTCTATTTATGAAATGTGTAGGAATTTAACAGAGAATGCTTTAAGCATAAAAAGATTCAAGTAAGAAACATAAGACTTTATGTTTTATGTAAAGAACTGAACTAAATCTCAATGGAATAAGGTGAGTGGCTGCCAGATAAGATGTAGGTCTCTTTTAAATCATTTAAATGTATTATAATGTATTATAAATTGCTTACTACAGCTGAGCAAATGAAGAATTAGAACATTGTTAAATTGAAAGGAAAATCATGCCAGTGGCTAATGGCATAGGGAGGATCTCATAAAAAATGGCAGTCTCTTTCGTGCAGTATCAGATTTACATATAACATATGCATTCATATTCATATGCGAACATAACTAGCACTAGATATCGCTGTGAGCAAAATAATTCGGTTCACTTCGTTTTTGTTTTCTGTTGAGCGCCTTGAGTTAACCCATTCGTATGATGCTCTTTCAAAGAACATCGCCAACGAACTCGTTGAGGGACCCAGAATTATTTATGAGAATTAGAATTATTTATATGATATATGACATATATCATTGATTGTCGCTCATTCGTTTTAAAGGAATACTTTTCGACAAAATAAAAATCCCTATTCTTCTACAAATAACGTATTATATCTCTATTGTCATGGTCTGCTAGGAAGTGTGATTAGAGAATAAATGACATAGAGTGTGTCTCTCATGTTGCTATAATAGATCATATGAATTTTTTACAGAATCGCAGAACAGCACGTAATACTCAACTCATTAACATAATTTTATGAAAAGCGAAAGCAGAGATCACTAATGCCACGTCTGCCCATGTTGACCCCCTAGGCTGTATTCTTATCTCTCGTAGACTGCATCTAAATTACCTAATATAGTGATTTCACTACGTAGCTACAGCTGCTCATAATTATATTTCCCATTTTCTATCAGCTTATCCCATTGCCAATCAGCAACTAAATCAAGGCTCAGCCGAGTTCATTTAACGAACCACAAACAATTTTCTAGCTGCTGATAAGATCTCAGCTGGAATGCGTTACACATATAGTATTTAGTATTGGCCATGAGTTTATTGGCCTCTGGCAAGTGCATAAAAGTAAACAGAAAGCAATTTTCATTAGGGATAATTAGAGTTAATGATTGAGGCTAAGTGAAACAAAGTAAGAGCTAACGTTTAAATACCAAATTTCACTCAGCGGCTAAAATGTGTATTAGGTATCAGATTGAGCTTTGTTGTGTTGCTGCTGTTGCTATAGTTGTTGCTGTTGCTGTTGCTGTTGGTGTTGGTGTTGCATTTGCAGCCATGGCAACCAATTCGCTTGGCGTGGTCAATGGATATTGTTCGCTGTAGTTTTCACAGCTCTTTTGGCCATTTCATACTAATGAGTGTAAATTGAAGTTGCAGTCAGGTAAAAAGTATAAAGGCTCCAGCATCGGACATGGGCACATGGAACATAGTCTCTCAGCCAACAGTGGACCGAAGCTGGCCGATTGTTAGTTGGTTCGCTTGGCGCCTAAAAGAGCGTAAAATGTAATTGTTGTTATATCACTCCGATCTGATGTGGCTGATGGACTGCGACTGCGACTGCGACTGGGACTGGGACAGGGCCTGCAGCTGGGGGAAGCCGCATAAATTACAAAACACCGACAGCCGACATCAACCAAAAACAGGAACAAAGGCCCAAAAGCAACAACGCGTCTAAAGCGGCTTTAGTCAGGCGAAACAAACAAAACTAACAACAGCAACAACAAAAACAACTGACATGTGTGTGTGTGTGTGTGTGCTAGGTGCGTAGAACATGGCACACAAAATGGAAACACATAATAGCTAAACGAACAAAGCAAAAAAAAAAAAAAATAAATAAAAAATACGAAGAAGAAATTGTAGAGTAGCAAACAATTAATGGCCCTGTGGGGTTTCATCGGGCCATCGCTTTAGAGTTTCATTCCTGTTTGTTATTTAGGTCTCCATATATGCACACTATACATATATATACATTTATATGTACGATTGCTAGTGGTAAGCTGATATTATTTATGATGCGCCATATATACACGTGAAAACATGTGTAAGTTCTAAAGCCTATTAAAACATAATTGGAATACCTGTAAGCGTGCGTACTCCACTTTACTCTGTGAGAATTGCAGAGAAAGGCATAACATACAAATACATTTTCATTATTGTTATATTATATGTTTAATTTAACTATCTGGCCAAAATTGATCAAATTGTATAAAGAAAGATTAATTAAAATTTCAGATATTGAAAGCTTTTCTGAATAGACATTATTATACTAATAAAAGTAATAAAAACATATGTTAATGTGGGAAATATACATAAATGAATTTCCATTTGCAACATTAAAAAAAAAAATTGCAATAAGTATTATCGATAGATTACTGCCATTAAGTATTAACAATTCATGGTCCCAATGTAATGCATTAGCACAAATACTCAACATAAGAAAGGACCATAAAAAGTACCTTGAAAAACCATGTCATATACATTTATCAAAGAGCGGAACCCAAGAAGGGAAAACTATAAATAAAAAATAATAATCAGCGCTGTAGCTCTCGCATTACACTGAATATTCACGAAATTTCCATTAACAACAGTACATTAAATCCACAAAAAACAGAGCGAGTGAGTGAGTGAGGGAGAGGCAACATAAAAACACACACACACACACACACACTCTCTCTCACACACATACATACGTATATTAACTGCTGGTCTCCAGTAAACAAAAGAAATTACTTTATATGTAACGTCAAAGTGTTTTTATGTGTGCTGGCAACACTTTATCCAACACCCGCATGCACCCTAAACAACTCGCCGGCAAAATGCAAAAAGGACTCGTGCTCGGTGTCTCTGTCTCGATTTGCAGCACCTACACCCTCGCCCCCCCACGCCATGCCGCGCCGCGCCCCGTCACACCTCCCGCCTCCCGCTCGGTCTGCCCGTCAGTCTAGCCACCCGTCTTTGGCCATGTCCATTTGTCTGCTGAATGGCGACTGCCAGCAGCGAAGCCAGCAACAACAGCGCGCTGCTGGCGCCACACACACACACACACACATACACTCTCTCACACACACTCATATTCACGCTTTCGTGTTTCATTGCCGTATGAGTAATTTTTCAGGCGAGTCGTCGAAAAGCCGCATTGTTTTGGCCAGCGCCCGCTCAATATTCACACATACCATTACACACACACACTGCCACACTCACACACACACACATTACTACATACGCACTTATGCATTTTAAAGCAATTTTAACTGTTTTCCTTTGCCTTTTCCCTCGCTTTTTTTGCTGCTTTTGTTCAGGCACCGACGTCTGGCAAAGCTCTTGCCCTGCTTCACGTCATTTTTCATTTAACGTCATCGCCCTCAAATAGCGGAGTGTACGGCGGAAGCATTTGTGTTCTACGTGAAACCCAAAATAATGTAGAACAATTGTCAAACTCGTAAATATTGATAGATGGTCGCCAAAACCAACTATTTATGTTTAAATACCGCGCACAAACTGAGCCTGGATTATGCTAGACTGAGGTGTGGAAGAGCGAGTGTCAAAGATGTCTAAAAGCTATAAATAATCTTAATTAGAATTAACAGGCAAGCGCCAAAGAAGAAGTAGAAGAAGAAGAAGCCATCTTTGACTGTCTTTGAAGTGTAATATGAAGAAGGAACTGCCTGCTGGCCACTTGAAATCTGCCTTAAAAATTAATTAAGGCTCATCTTAACAATCTATAAATGAAAGATCTATAAATAATCTCTATAAGTAATTATTGGGTATACAATCTATGACATAACAGTATTGATTGATTAATCAATAGATTATTTGCAAGGAATGTCTTCTATAATAAAGTACAATGAATACAAATAAATTTAATAATAATTGAATAATACAAATTAATTTTAAAAAATTGACAAATTGTGGGAATTCATTCTCTATTACTTATGCATAATATCTATATTCGATATTGATACCAAATCTATATATGTATTTGTATTACATTTTAATATAAGACTAAGTTAGGGTATTTTTCAGTCAGGCCTTCTACAAAGCTGATTTAATCTTCACCCACGCAGTTTCAGTAAGGCCCAACGAAAGAGACAAATAATATTCTTGTGAAAATTGAATTAAGCGTTTACCCAAAAGTAAATCAAATACAAAAGGTTACTTTCGAAGGACTTGAAAAGAGGAAAACAAATATCAAAGGGCGCTACGCATTAAAATGCCATTCTATATAATTAACAAAATTTAAACTTGATAAAAAAAAATATTTGTAAAATATAAATACATCTCAAAGGATTTTAGGCTCAACAAAATATCGGAAACAAGCAATCGTCGCATTAACTGAAACTGAATTACAGTTAAGCATTTCAAACATAAAACCGAAAAATTAGAAAATAAAAAAAAAATAAATAAAAAAATAATAGAATATGCCAGAGGTTATTCAATTAGCTGGCGTGCTGTCCGGCCACAGTGGCTGGGTGACTCAGGTGGCGCCCCATCCGTATGATCCGGACCTGTTGGTCTCCTCGTCGCGGGACAAGACCATCATCGTTTGGCGCCTGACGCGCGAGAGCCAGAACAACTATGGGTATACGCTGAAGCGGAACTATGGCCACTCGCATTTCATCAGCGACGTGGTGCTGTCGTCGGATGGCAACTTCGCGCTGTCCGGCTCGTGGGATCGCACCATTCGGCTGTGGGATCTCACTGCCAGCGCCACTACACACCGCTTCGAGGGGCATTCGAAGGATGTGCTGTCCGTTGCCTTCTCGCCGGATAATCGCCAAATAGTGTCCGGGTCCCGGGATCGCACCATTAAGCTGTGGAACACACTGGCGGACTGCAAGTACACCATTACGGATGATTGCCACACCGACTGGATATCGTGCGTGCGCTTCTCGCCCAAGCACTCGAATCCCCTCATCGTCTCCTGTGGCTGGGATCGTACGGTCAAGGTGTGGGACCTGACCCACTGCAAGTTGCGCAACAATCATCATGGCCACACTGGCTATCTCTCGACGGTGGCCGTCTCGCCGGATGGCTCGCTGTGCACGTCGGGCGGCAAGGATGCTAAGGTGCTCTTTTGGGACTTGAGTGACGGACGCAATCTGTATCCGCTTGACCATCACGATGTGGTCAATGCCATGTCCTTTTCGCCCTGCCGCTATTGGCTTTGCGTGGCCTGCGGTTCCTCCATAATCGTCTGGGATTTGGCATCGAAAAAGGCCGCATTCGATCTATGGCTGGAGGATGTTACGCCCACCGCAAAAGGCGATCTGCCGCAATGCCTGTCGCTGGCCTGGTCCATAGACGGCCAGACCCTCTTCGCCGGCTACTCGGACAACAAGATACGCGCCTGGCAAGTGCTCACCGGCCAATAAGGGCCGAGTGCCACACCCACTTTTTACACATTCATAACTTTCTAATTAGCTGATTTGTTTATTCTATAAGGGACAATTCACACGACACACGAAACATAGAACACGTATACACTTAAGTTAAAGAGAGTTGGCAGAAACAAAACACTATCTACTTATCTTCTACATATACATATACAGATACATACACATACATATGTATATATACACATACATATATGATTAAAGCTTTAAGACTAAACAATCCTGTAAAGCGTCTTAGATCTCTTTGTATAATGATGTCAACCAGATTTATCTTACATTTTATTCCTTTTTTTTCTGTTTTTGTTTTTTGTGCTGCTCTTAGCATATGTTGTTCAACACGCTGATTCGCTGTCAATATTTGATTAACAATCCCCCGCACAATCTCGGAAGCCACTTATATCGCTTATTTCCTTGAGCGCCAGAAGTGCCAAATCATGAGTTTCAGATACAACTGCAGATAGGATTGTGCACGATGACAAAATGGGGTTCGGTTCGGTATGTGGAAATGGCTTAGAGATGCTCGAACGTGTGACAACTGGGGCAATCCCAAGATGCCAAAGCCCAGATACAAACGGCACTACGAGCAGCACAAAACTATATATGTATATAGGTATATACACAAATATATACATATATGCAAAAAAAAAAAAAAAAAATGTATTCGATTCGGTTCTGGACAGATTAATAGCAAATGCCGTGGCAGTAGGCAGGCGCTTAGCTTTGTGGGTGGGAAGCTGTCAACAAATCCGCAACAACAAACCGCAATCGCAATCACATTTATTTATTTATTTTTATGTTAACAGTTGGCAGCTTCCTCATTTGTGCCCAGCGCAGCACAAAAGCTGACAGGCGACATATTAAGCATCTCTGGCCGGCCGGCCGGACGGACGGGGTGGGGGCAGGAGGAGGCGAAACTAGAAAGGGTCGAGGTCATCTTAATGATTAATACGACTGTGGATACGCATGTGCGAATCCACACAGCATACTGACATATGCACATACATACATATATAGATATACGCGTATATGGGCCAAAACTATAAGCCTATTCAAATTGGGTATATTCGCACCTGCCACAGAGAACAATTCAAGTGTGAGTGTGTGTGTGCAACAGAATCATATTCCATTATACATACACCATGACCCTGGCTACGAAAATCACACATACAAGTCATCTTCATCGTACAGATGTATGTATGTATTGCTCTTAGCATATATTGTAGTATGTAATTATGCATGTACCTATGTGCAGTGCTTGACACTACTTTTACAGCGCACACATACACACGCACGCACGCAGGCACGCACATACATACGAGTGTGTCGCTACGTGAAGGACTTTTAAAATCGACCACTAACTACGCCTTTGGCTCAGTGCGCGTAAGCGAGATAGCAATACTAACATAGTGCCGCTGAGCAGCGCTTACAGCTCGCTCAGAGAGAGAGAGCACTGTTAACGGCTGTCGTGAGTGCTGGTGGTGGGGGCAGTGAGCGAGCGAATCATCGGCTATGTTCGTGTTGCCAGCGTAGTATACTCGCAAGCGTAAAAATGTGTAAAACTCGACTCTCTGATGAATGAGATTAACCGTTACACACACACGCACACATACACATGCAATTGCCGCACTGAAACCAAGCAACCCCCTGGCACAGGCGCACACGATAAACGGCTACAACTACAACGGCAATACAACAACAACAACAATACAACAACAACAACAACCCTCAACAGCGACAAAGCACTTGCTGCTCTTGCTGTCGCTGTCGCTGTCGCTGTCGCTGTCACCGCCTCTGCCTCTGCCTCTGTCGCTGCTTCTGCCTCTGCCTCTGCTGCTGCTGCTGCTGCAGGGCATTGTGTGTGTTTGGCAAGAGGGTTTGTATGGTGCTTTTACTCGCTACTTTCTCGATTAACTTTTACTACACTGCCAGCAATTTTTTTATGTTAGTTCGCTATAGTTGTTGTTGTTGCGGTTGTTATTGTTACTGTCGCTTGCCGTATTTTTGGCTCTGGCTAAGCAACAATTAAAGAAGCTTCAGCCAAGCAGTTTACCTGCGTGTATGGCGCCTAAGTTCACGCCCGATGACAAATGCAGATTTTTTTTTAATACTCACACTAAATATAACGGCAACTGAGCTGGAGCGCCCTACACTGGGCTTTCGTTTTTGTTTTTATGAACTTTGCAACTTTGAACTTTGTGTGTTTGTTTCTGTGCGCTGCCCTGTATGTAGTTGTTAATGCACATTCCCATTTAGAGTTTCACATTTCACAGGACACACACCAAGTATAGAACTCACACTTCGTGGCGCTTCAAATGGCGCTTTGCACACTTCCGACTGAACGTCTTAACGCTAACACTGCGACTGCGATTGCGAATGTGATTACTCGTCGCTAGCCCCAATGGCCGCTCAGTTAACATTGCACACTTCTGCTTAGGTTGGCAGTCCTCTGTTAAGCTTATCGATTGGATGTTGTATCACGGTGCGAGCGAGATGGCGCTATAGCCGCACAGCCGATGCCTGAAAATGGCAGCGCGTCATTGTTAGCATTGGCGTTGGCCTCGCATGAAACGGTAAATTGTTAGACTTTATTCCTCAATATCGTTTCAATTTCGATAACATTTCACTATCAGTCACTGACCAATGCACACTCGCGAATCTAGTATTTAATTGTCACTTAATGCGAAAGCGAATACAAAAACCAACTGCGACCTTTGGCTGCATTTTGACAATAGCCGGCGTTGTCGTCGCTAACATGCCAAGCAACCACCATCGAGAGCGCCAGTAGGACGCACCCCATGAACCGTTTGGGCTCTCTGTTTCTCCCTTTCTCTCTCTTTGTGGGACTCCTTTTTTGTGCGCTCACTGTCTGTGGCATTTATAATACTATTTTACTGTACTCAAGTTTTTGGCGCCTAATTCGCAAATAAACCCTTACAGCGCTGCCTAACCTAACAATGTCAATTGGGGTCGGGCCATAAAGGCATTCCAATATTTTCGACTAGCTATTGTAAATTCATATTTGAAAAATAAGAGTCGTGATATTCGCTCAATGTTGTATTTTCAAATGTCCTTGTAATGGGGCAACAGCCAGTCAGCGTGACAAGGGTTTGTTCCGGGGTGGCTCTTGATGAGGTGTTGGCACTTCTTATCACTTTGAATATGTAACTCGAATCGCTGTGCCTTTAAAATGTCTGGCAGGAGTATTGTCACGTGAATTGCCCTGAAACAAAATCGATTTCATGCTGACTCCCCCTCCGCCCCATCTGCCCCATCAGCCCAATCTGCCCATCCCACCCATCGTTCTTCCACCCCACCGCCCCTCCGTTGGCAGTTGTTTGTTCCATGTCCTGTAATTTGTCGTCACACTTCAAGGACTCGTCCCAAGCAACATACGCCGTGTTGTCTGCCAGGGAGTCTGCAAGTTTCTTGGTAGAAAATTGAATTAATCAAGATGTTACTGATTCGATTAGTGTTTACCACAACGAAAAGACTCTGTAAAATAAATTTATAAATGTTGCGAGCATAAATCTCATCATGTTAGAATATGATTTATTACCTTGCAATATAATGCGAAAGCTGAATTACTCTTTCGATTTTTTGATATATATGTTTATATATAACAGCCTAGCCAAATATAATATATATAATATATATGCTTACATAACTATATCGCAGCCTATACATATCCATATAGCAAAACCCTACACCTTTTATATACATTTATAGTTATACATTCTGTTATTTCATTAAAGAAATTAGAGCCAGGGCACTAATGGGTCGTGGTCGACCAACTGCTTCTGGTCGCAGACCCCTCGATTAAGGTCAAACCATTTCCCTGGGTCACAGAAATGGGTAACTGGGGTACCGTTTCGGCAAACGTAATACTTATTGTGGAGCTCCGAGTCCCGCATAGTGGTTCCATCTCTCTTATTGATACAGTTGACCTCTGTGCCTGTAATAACTGAAATACTTGGGCTGGGTGCAACCTCGATTGTGCATCTCACACGACTGGGATAATTGCAATATTTTATCTCAGTGTCTATGTAGAGACCTTTAGGGCACTGTCTAGGAATGGCCTTTCCGTTGGCGCAGACATAAAATTTGCTACATGATCTTGGATGCCTAACATATTCGCCATTTGGGAATAAACTACAATCTGGAGCTGGCGAATCATCCGGTTCGGATGGAGAATCATCGGTCAGGCTCAAAGGACTTTGTGGAGCTGTACTATAATCCTCCTCACTGCTTGTACAGTCCACTAGGCTGGGGAAATTGCAGACCTTCTTTTTTATGTCGAAAAAGAGAACATTCGGGCAGCTATGAGGTATGGCACGCCCATTAGAGCACACATAAAACTTAGCGCAGAGATTTGGATCTCTTATAAAAGCACCATTGGGTAAAGAACTGCATTTCGAGTCAATCGCGTCTTCCAAAGGCACAATTATGTTTTCTGCCTTGGACACAATCTGTAGGTTCTTTAAAGCCGATGCGTTCTTTGATAGATCAAATTGTGTGGAAGATATAAGGTGTTCAATGTACTTCAGAGCCTCAGCTGCAGAGGGAATGTCATGTTCCTTCGAGTGATCCGTTTTCGTTGAGTATAATACCTTTCCGTTGGATTTCAGATTCGAGCCTACAGCTGGTTGGGTTTGTACCATCTTTAGTTGTGATGCTTCTTTAGAGAGATCAACAATTGTGGCTGGCACTACTGTTTCCTTAGATTTTAGTCCCGCAGTTGGTTTGGTTTTGTTTTGCTCTGCTTTTAACGTAGTCTTCGAGAGATCTGCTTTCGATTGGGCTAAACTCATCTCCTGAGCCTTGGGATTTTCAACTACAGATGGTTTGCTTTGCCCTTGCTTCTTCGGAGGATCCGACTTCGTTGAAGATAATTGCTTCTCCTTATGCTTCAGATTCTCAACTACAGTTGGCTTGAAATGTTTGTCCTCTGGTTTTGGCGTGTTCTTGAAGAGGTTTGATTTCTCTGAGGGTATTACCGTCTTGTTAGATTTCACACCCACAATTTTACCCGGTTTGATTTGCTCCTTTGAGAGATCCGATTTTGTAGATGGTGAATACGTTTGCTTAGATTTTAGATTCTCAGATACAGGTAGTTTCCTTTGCTCTAGATTTTGACTCGATCTCTCATTTGACAGGACTGCGTCGCTAGACTTCAGACTTTCAGCAAGAGATGGCTTTGTTGGGTCGTGCTTTACAGCAGACTTACTATCCGTCAGATCAGATTTCGGCATAGGTTCCTTACCTTGCTGTGGTATAGAGTTCTTATTTGAAGTAACTGTCTTCGTTGCAAGTAAAACCGTTTCGCTAGACTTTGCACTACCAACTTTAGATAGCTCTTCCTTTGATTTGGATACATCTTTTGTAAGAACTGATTTCATCAAGGGCAATTCCATTTCATTAGAGTTCAGGCTCTCAACTACAGATGTACTCATTTGATCCTTTGATTCCTTAGGCCCTAACAATTGGTTTTGTCCTTGCTTAGATTCGGAAATCTTTTGAATGACTCCTGATGTATTATTTTTTGAAATATCTGAATTCGGTGGAGGCAATATCGCATTGTTAGATTCTATTTTCTCAGGGCTGTCTTGAATCTTGGAAAGATCCGTCTTCAATGAAGCTGGTACTGTTTCCTTTGATTTGAGACTATCAGTCAATTTGCTTTGAGCTTGCTTTACTTCAGAAGTGTCCTTTGCGATAATTTTCGTTGAAGATACTACCGCTGCCTTAGATATCAGAGCCTTATTTAGCTTACTCTGATCTTTTGATAAATCTGCTTTCAGACTCTGAGCTATATTTGGTTTGCCTTGATCCTTGGATTGAATCAATATTGATGAAGGTAGAGGCGTTTCCTTAGACTTGAGGCTCTCAGATACAGACAATTTGCTTTGCTCTTGCTTTACTTGTGATGTGTCTTTTGCGATAACGGTCTTCGTTGATGATGATGTTGTTTTAGATGTCAGATCTTTGTCGAGTTTATTTTGATCCTTGGAGAGATACGTTCCTGGTGAAGGTAGTGGAGTTTCCTTAGATTTGAGGCTCTCGGATAAAGAAAGTTTGCTTTGCTCATTTTTTACTTCTGGGGTGTCCGATGCGATAATTTTTGTTGAAGATGCTACCGTTGCCTTAGATATCAGAGCCTTATTTAGCTTACCCTGATCTTTTGATAGTACAGTTTTCAGATTCTGAGCTACATATGGTTTTCCTTGATCTTTGGAGAGCATTACTGGTGAAGGCATTGGCATTTCCTTAGATTTGATGTTCTCAGATACAGACAGTTTGCTTTGCACTTGCTTTACTTCTGATGTGTCCTTTGAGATAATTGTTTTCGTTGATGATGAAACCGCTGCCTTAGATATCAAATCCTTATTTGGTTTGCTCTGATCCTTTGATTGATCTGTTTTCAGATTCTGAGCTACATATGGCTTTCCTTGATTCTTGGATTGATTCAATATTGGTGAAGGTAGTGGCGTTTCTTTGGATTTGATGTTCTCAGATGTAGACAGTTTGTTTTGCACTTGCTTTACTTCTGATGTTTCCTTTGAGATAACTGTTTTCGTTGATGATGATACCGCTGCCTTAGATATCAGATCTTTATTCAGTTTACCCTGATCCTTTAATAGATCAGTTTTCAGATTCTGAGCTACATATGGTTTTCCTTGATCTTTGGAGAGCGTTACTGGTAAAGGCAGTGGCATTTCCTTAGATTTGATGTCCTCAGATACAGACAGTTTGCTTTGCACTTGGTTTACCTCTGATGTGTCCTTTGAGATAATTGTTTTGGTTGATGATGATACCGCTGCCTTAGATATCAGATCCTTATTTGGTTTACTCTGATCCTTAGATAGATCTCCTTTCAGATTCTGAGCTACATATGGTTTTCCTTGATCTTTGGAGAGCGTTACGGGTAAAGGCAGTGGCATTTCCTTAGATTTGATGTCCTCAGATACAGACAGTTTGCTTTGCACTTGGTTTACCTCTGACGTTTCCTTTGAGATAACTGTTTTGGTTGATGATGATACCGCTGCCTTAGATATCAGATCCTTATTTGGTTTACTCTGATCCTTAGATAGATCTCCTTTCAGATTCTGAGCTACATATAGCTTTCCTTGATTCTTGGATTGATTAAATATTGGTGAAGGTAGTGGCGTTTCTTTGGATTTGATGTTCTCAGACGTAGACAGTTTGCTTTGCACTTGCTTTACCTCTGATGTGTCCTTTGAGATAACTGTTTTCGTTGATGATGATACCGCTGCCTTAGATATAAGATCTTTATTCGGTTTACCTTGATCCTTTGATAGATCACTTTTCAGATTCTGAGCTACATATGGCTTTCCTTGATTCTTGGATTGATTCAATATTGGTGAAGGTAGTGGCGTTTCTTTGGATTTGATGTTCTCAGATGTAGACAGTTTGCTTTGCACTTGCTTTACTTCTGATGTTTCTTTTGGGGTAACGGTCTTTGTTGATAATAATACCGCTGCCTTAGATATCAGATCCTTATCTTGTTTACCTTGCTCCTTTGGTAGATCAGCTTTCAGATTCTGAGCTACATATGGTTTCCCTTGATCCTTAGAGAGAATTATTGGTGAAGGTAGTGACGTTTCCTTAGATTTGAGGCTCTCAGATACAGACAGTTTGCTTTGTACTTGCGTTACGTCTGATGTGTCTTTTGCGATAACGGTCTTCGTTGATGATGATACTGCTGTTTTAGGCGTCAGATCGTTATCGAATTTATTTTGATCCTTGGGGAGATACGTTCCTGGTGAAGGTAGTGGCGTATCCTTAGATTTGATGCTCTCAGATACAGAAAGTTTGCTTAGACTTTGCTTTACATCTGATGTGTCCTTTGAGATAACTTTATTCGTTGAAGATACCGATCCTTTATGTATAAGATCGTTATTAAGATTGCCTTGCTCTTTTGGCGAATTTGCGTTCTGGGAAGATGAGATATCAGATTTCGCTGAGGATAGTGCCGCATTGTTAGTTTTTAGAATCTCAGGTGCAGATAACTTGGTTTGCTCCATCTTTGTTGCAGAGCCTTGAAGAGAGCTGCTGCCTGATGTAACACTGTCAATTTTATGTGTTTTGGGAGACTTTGCTCTTCTAAGTGTATTTGATAAGTATTTGGGCTGTTTATCGGTCAGCAGGGATGGATTTCCGTCATTTACACTTTCGTCTTCGTTAATACTGCAGTCAACAGCAGCAGGGAAATTGCAAACTCTTTTCTTTATATCAAAATACAGGCTGGATGGGCAACTTCGCAAAACAGCACGTCCACTTGCACATATGTAGAACTTACTGCATGAGTTTGGATGTCTCAGATGTACACCATTGGGCTGCGAGCTGCAAATGGATTCTTCGTCAAAATAAGTAGTGTCTTCCCAATCATTGGTGTCGAATACATCAAAGTCGAAGATATCCTCTTCTGTGTACTCTAACGTTGGTGACTCTGAAGTTTCTGAGTCTTCTTCTAAGTCATCGTCCAGATCTTCGGTGGTTAGAGCTGAGCTATCAAAAGATGTCGACAATTCATTATCAGCTAGGTAACTATCTTCTATGACATCTTCATCTGATTGTGTTGTGCCTATGCTACTGCCAACAGTATTGCCAAAGCTGTATGTCAATAGTTTTGGAATGGATATGGATTCTTGTTGCTGAGAGCAATCTACAAGGTTGGGCAAGTTGCACACCTTACTTTCAATATCAAAGTACAAATTTCTCGGACACTTTCGCAGAATAGCGCGCCCATTAGCACAGACATAAAAGTTGGCACAAGACGTTGGATCCCTTAGATATGCTCCACTTGGGAGAAGGGCACAAGGCGCGCTTTTGTCAAACTCTGAAACGGAATCGGCTGCTTCTACCTCTGTTGGAATCCATAAAATATTGTCCAATTTCTTACCAAGCTTTCCCACATCAGCTCGTATGGGCTTCGACAGAAGTGGGGTTTCACTAGTTGATGAATTTATGTCTTCACTTTCAGTGGTTTCATCAAACGGATTTTCTGAGGTAGATAATGGATCTTCGGAGCTGGTATCCTCGGTCTCAGTTCCTTCTGAAGAAGTTGGTAATGCCTCGGTAGAACTCTCTGCCGGATCAGTTTCTTCTGAAGTAGATGATTCTTCAGAGCTAGTAATTAGGCTGTCCACAGAACTTTCTGATGGATCAGCATCTTCTGAAGTAGAACTCTCAGGGGAACTAGAGATGGAGCTGTCAGTAGATATTGCCTCAGAACTGGAACTTGAGCTGTCAGTGAATGAGTTATCAGAGCGGGAACTGGAACTCTGAGTCGAGTCCTCGGAAGTAGAATCTGTGGTGTCAGTAGTTGAGTTCTCAGAATTTGAAGTTGAGCTCTCAGTCGTATCCTCAGTGTTGTCAGTAGATGAGGCTTCAGAGCTTGAGCTTGAACTCTCAGTAGATGATGACTCAGAGCTGGAGCTTGAGCTCTCAGTAGATGAATCCTCAGAGCTAGAACTGGAACTTTCAGTAGATGAGGCTTCAGAACTGGAACTTGAGCTCTCAGTGGATGAGGCTTCAGAGCTTGAGCTTGAACTCTCAGTAGATGATGCCTCTGAGCTGGAGCTTGAACTCTCAGTAGATGAATCCTCAGAGCTAGAACTTGAACTTTCAGTAGATGAGGCTTCAGAGCTGGAACTTGAACTCTCAGTAGATGAGGCTTCAGAGCTGGAACTTGAACTCTCCGTAGATGAGGCTTCAGAGCTGGAGCTTGAACTCTCAGTAGATGAGGCTTCAGAGCTGGAACTTGAACTCTCAGTAGATGAGGCCTCAGAGCTAGAGCTTGAGCTTTCAGTAGAAGAGGCTTCAGAGCTGGAACTTGAGCTGTCAGTAGATGAGGCTTCAGAGCTGGAACTTGAACTCTCAGTAGATGAGGCCTCAGAGCTAGAACTTGAGCTTTCAGTAGAAGAGGCTTCAGAGCTGGAACTTGAGCTGTCAGTAGATGAGGCTTCAGAACTGGAGCTTGAACTCTCAGTAGATGAGGCCTCAGAGCTGGAACTTGAGCTCTCAGTAGATGAGGCCTCAGAGCTAGAACTTGAACTCTCAGTAGTTGAGGCTTCAGAGCTGGAGCTTGAACTCTCAGTAGATGAGGCTTCAGAGCTGGAACTTGAGCTGTCAGTAGATGAGGCTTCAGAGCTGGAACTTGAACTCTCAGTAGATGAGGCTTCAGAACTGGAGCTTGAGCTTTCAGTAGAAGAGGCCTCAGAGCTGGAACTTGAGCTCGCAGTTGATGAGGCTTCAGAGCTGGAGCTTGAACTCTCAGTAGATGAGGCTTCAGAGCTGGAACTTGAGCTTTCCGTAGATGAGGCCTCAGAGCTGGAACTTGAGCTCGCAGTTGATGAGGCCTCAGAGCTAGAGCTTGAGCTTTCCGTAGATGAGGCTACCGAACTGGAACTTGTACTCTCCGTAGATAAGGTCTCGGAGCTGGAGCTTGAGCTTTCAGTCGATGAGACGTCAATTGTCGGTGGCGTAGGTGGGCGGAAAGTGGGTTTTGGCGGAAAGAAAGGTGGTATTGGTGGCTTATTCCACAGACCACCAAAGATGTTAAATATAATCGGCCTGTCCATGGTTATGTTTTGATTGATGTTGAACTCATTTCGAACGCCACTGCCTGCATTTTTGAGTTGAATGCTTGACTGCGGGACTTGTGCACAGTTCTGTGATTTCACATTAAATCTAAAGCCTTCAGCGCAATTGTTTCTTATTTTTCCCAGTAAGCCGAAGCATAAGTAGTATGCATGAGGATCTGCTGGATCGACGGCTTTATATCCAAATTTTTGTCCTGCACATGCATCCAAGGCGAATGCCTGCGGAAACGTCAGCAGACCTATCCACAGGAGGTTCACTAAAACGAAGGATCTTAGAAAATTTTCCTTTAGAATTCAATGTGCGACTTACCCAATTGCATTTTTAATATTCATCCGGTCAAATGCGACGTGCAATGGCCGAGCATTTCCTTTTATAGCCTACGGTGCAGCAATTAGCTCAGTGCAACAATTAGCTGAAAGGCTTTCCATATTTCGACAACTGTAACTGCCCCTTTGGAATAGTTAAGAACTATCTGCTGACAACGTAATTATTTTAAATAAATTGCATAAGCATCACCTAATGTATTACAATCTTTGTCTTAAGAATTCTGAGGGGAATCACTGTCTGACACATGTTTCCAAATAATAGATAAGAAACACAACAAGGTCTCAAAGATTGTCTCTCTCTCTCTCATTTCAGTTTCTTCCTTGTCTGACTGAGTTGAGAAATTGTATGGTAATGTGCGATGAAATCTTCTGAACTGTATTATATTATCAATGTTCCATAAGAACACAATTGGTAAATCTTAAGATCATTCTATCTCTATCTTGCCCATGTATAAATATATGTTAATCTCTCGATTTCTATTGCAATAGTTCTAAAATATCATTATGTATTACAGATATTATTCAATTAATATACTCCATCTCTGTATATCTTACATTCTATATTTATATTACATACAGGTCTAATTTGTTAAGTTTGTCTTTTAGTGAAAAGCCTATACCGAATTATAGAAACATTATATATCATTTATAATTTTGTCGATCTAATATAAATCATAAAATTATTGGTTTATGGGGATGACAGAACCAGAATATAAATTCCTTTCTCTTTTACCTCACATAATTTTCAATACCTGTGATTCTATCTCCACCTACTTCAATCATATTTGCTCTTACAAAATCCCTTCATCAAAGCCAGGATTTATCTTATCCACATTCTAAAGATATAGTTTGAAGACTAATTTGGATACTAAATTCCTATTATCTTACACTCTTCATCAACTTAAGTTGATATGTCTCTTGCTTATAGACTTTCTAGACATTAGATTTTCATCTGAAAAAGTACCGTTTTCAATATAATCTTAGACTTTTGCTTTTGTAATCTTCTTATGTACTAGTTTTTGCCTATCTGTCATCTTTTTATAGTCTAATCAAAGTTCTTCTCACGTGTTGGTAATCTTGTCAAGTGCTGCTTATCATTAATAAGCTTACCTAATACGATAGTGTAATTGTCTCGTACTCGGCGAAACTTTCAGAATAGTATTCCTCCTTTCCCCTGCCCCGCCCATCCAATGCAAGTCTATCCGCAAAGAGCGGTTGCCCGGTCACGATTAGTAGGTGTAGATAAGGTGTATGTGTGTGTTATCGTGTTCTTTCCATGATTACTCAAACCCATCGCACTTGTTGGTGTTGTAACTATTTATAGTCTGAAATGGCTGAAAAAGCTTTTGGATGAAAGCACAGAGCTGCACTATATGAAGGTGTTTTAGGTCGGGCTCTTATCGTAACTTGTGTGGCTTCGAATGTACCTCGTCGAGCGAAAAGCGAATTCATTGTTGGATTTTGTTGCTCTTGGTATTCGAGCCAATAAGTTCGGCAACCAGTTCGCATTTTATCTTTTGCAGTTTTTATTATTTTTGATTTTTCGATTTTTTTTTTTTTTTTTTTTTTTTTTATAATTTTGCACAAAATTTTTGGCAACCGGTCAGCTGCACTTGCTAAACAACGTCCCCCTACCCTGAGCACTACCTGATAGCAATTTGTTTTGTTCGTTGCTCGCAACTCATTATCAAAAATCAAGTTCACGCTAATACGATCGTTTAGTTATGTTGTCTTACATACAATTAAATAGCTTAAGATAAGGCTTTGCATGTTTTTTGTAATTTGTTTTTTATGGGCCCTAATTGATGGGCCGCCATATTAAGAAGTTAGCCAAAGAAATTAGTAATACTAATGCTATTACTAAGCACAAATATGATATAAGAATATGAATTAAGAACTTTCTGAGGGCCAATTCATTTTTGAAATGTTTTAGAATATTTGCCAAAATGAGCTAGAATATACATTATACTACGTATATTCTACTATATACTATACTATGTATACTACTACTATGTACTACACTATGTATACTACTACTATACTATATAAACATATTTTTGAAATATAAAACAAGCATTTTAGTTAAGATTTCTAGTAATGTAGTATATAATAGATTCTATGACTCTATATATTTTCTTTAATAATATAAGTTGTTCATAAATAAAACATTTAAATTTCATAATCATTTAATATATTGCTTATAAAAAAGTAAATATTTGATATATTTAATAAAATTATGCAATGATTATAGATTTACAAAAGCTACAGAGGACTTTGACTTTGACTACAGTTAATTTATAAATTCTTATTAAACTCAATATCAATATTTCTTAAAATTTGAATCTAAGTATTTTGCGCCAAATGCAATTTTCATGAATTCTACAATTTGATACAATAGTTTTGAAACTATTCTCTATCTAATACAATCTTCTTCGATTTCAAAAATAAACGTATTTTGCTTTGTTTTTTGCAAAACAAATATTAGTATTTGCTGGAAATTTGCATATGGAAAGAAACGGTGCAATGGATTAGAGTGGTCTCGAAACTACACTACGCCGTAAGGTGCGCTTTGGTTAATGTTCATCCGTTAGCTAACGAGACCATTCCAAACACGATAACGATCGTTGAATTTCGCACATATAAAGCTGAATAGAACGTCCATCAAAGATCCTCTCCACCCCACACCGCCCCCGCCAGCTGACTCACAGTGGGTGGGAGGGGACGCAATACCGTTGCACTTTTTCACTCACTAATAACTGCTTATCTTTTTGCACGCGTGATAAGCGCCTATTGCTGGGTAGGCATTAGCTTGAGGCTCGTCCAAGGCAGATTAATACGAAACTGATGCATTGCGAACTACACACGACTCGGAAGTCTCTTTTATTACATTATCAATTTATATTCAATTAGTGTTCAATTTAGAGCATTTTCGCTCTGCATTGCGTTCTGTTCACGCTCTAGGCGATTGCCGTAGGTCCGCGAGACGAGGTTCCATGTGTCCAGAAAGCGATCCATACACTGCGTAATGCATCGTTGCTCAGACCCATCCAGAGCCTTGCCGGGCCTGGAGATACACTTCCTAAAACACTTCTCCGTCATCTTGGAGAGCATCTCCTGGGCATTCGCCAAGGCGATTTGCTGCCTCACTTGAGTAATTACCTCACCATTATTATAATTTTCATCAGCCATTATAGTAGTTGATTCTAGATATATGTACACTTGGCAATTTTACTTTCTTTTTACTCTTTCAAATGCAAAAAATAATACTGAATTGTCGTTCAGCTTTTGATTTATTAAGGACAGCTCACCGGGTTATCAAATATTTATAATTCAATGTAAAAGTCTACTAAATACTCTATGAAGGAAATCAAGCTAGAAAGAGAGAGCTTTCTTGGGATTACTGAAGAAGTAAATTAAAGAAATTGAATATTTGTAGTACTCATTTTTGCATTAGCAGAGTGTTTTTGGAAAAGATAACAATCTTTAATTTCACACAAATGCTTTTCTTTAATATTAACAAAAAGTTTTGTCACTTTTAAAGATGAATTGAAAAGACATCAACTTGGAACACGCACATATAGATCTAACATATCTTGACTAACAGCATATGTTTTCTTCTCTCCGCAATATTATTATCTTGAATTAGGATCTTCTGAAATAACTAAGACTTTAAATACTCACCAGAAATATAGTATATTCTTATATGATTTAAGTGACACCTATAATAAATTCGAGGACATCAATTGTCATATTATATTCCCCCCTAATATCCAAATCCCATAAAAATCCGAATTATTAAATTGTAAGACACTTGATAAATTAAATTTATTGTTGTTAGCATAAATATAATTTGTTTTCTGTTCTTGTTACAGATTTTCCTTTGATGTTTAATAAAGTTAAGCAGAACTTTAACGTTCATACCATATCAAAGGATTAATGTTATTTATAATTAGCATATTATATAGTTAAAAGATCTTTGCTCCTTTTGATTAGAAAAATATATTATATAAATGATTTCTACTTATTTCTTTTTATTACTATCTTTTAGTTTCTTATTTTGTTGTTGTTGGGGTTTTCTGGTTTTTCCGACAAAATGTCATTGTGTATATAAAAATAAAAACTTTTAGTTTTATTTTTAACTGCGTTTGGAGTGATCCAGTGAATACACCATGAATCATCATATAATATAGTATGTTATATTCTTTGGATTGCAACTATTTAAGAATCTTTTGAATATGTGCCGCACACAAGCTGATTTGGCAGTTGGCGATATTTGGAATTTGAGCTAAGAATCAGAAAAAACTGATTCGACATCGTGAAAAGTCTCATATCCAAATGATAATTAGAGATACAAACAGGCAGTAATAGAGAGGGATCTGAATAACATGATCGAATCCTGCATTTAACTGTTTTTCCTTTGCCTGGAATTGGTTGCAATTTATATATGCAAGCCGATTTCTTGATTTATGAAAACCCAGCCCAACCGCCAGAGCTTTAATACTGTAAAATAAAGTTTTGCTACTTTGCACTTGATTAACTAGGGGCCCGCCCACTTGACCCCGGGCATTCATATTGTATTTTGACAATAATTTTGAGTAGAAGGGGAACAGTGCACTCTACAGTATTCAAATGGACTGACCTGAATAAATAATTATGCTTTATATAAGTATTTGCTACTGATCAAAACGTATCACTTATATTTGGTTGATTTTATGTACATATACAAGATTTGATCTGATCTGTAAAAGTTTGCGCAATAGCTAAAAAGAGTATATGTGTGCAGTTGCGAAATATATATATACATGTATATATATATATATATATATATATATATATATATAATGTTTGTCTGTATATGCGTGTACATTATATACAAGTGATAGAGTTCAGCTAGTTAGACATAAGTAAATACATGTATAAGTATACTATATACACATACATATATAAATATATGTATATATATATGGAATGTACAATCACGTTGAGTATGTAAGTATTATTGCGTTAAAGAGACAGGCACAAACATATAAGTGTA